TTTTTTGGGACAGGCATTTTGGGTTTTCATGAGCTGTATGCCATAATCATCAGTATTAAAACAATTAAAGACCTGAAATATTTCAGTTGGTGTGCAATGAATCTGAAATATATGAAAGTTTCATTTTTATCATTACATTATGGAAAATAATGACCTTTATCACAATATGCTCATTTTTTGAGAAGGACCTGTATACCTGGACCTACTATTCTGTGTTCGTCTGTCTCTCCTTCCTGTCCTCTCAACCAGCCGGTCAAAGCATACGGCCTCTTGTCCTGAGCCTGGTTCTGCTGGAGGTTTCTTCCATTTAAAAGGGAGTTTTTCTTTCCACTGTTGCCTCTGTGCTTGCTCAGGATGGGAGACTGCAACGAAGCCAAGATTCAACTTGTCTGCTGGATTCCTTAGATAGAGAACTTTACTAATTGGCTTTTATGTGAATGTTTCTGTAAAGTGCCCTGGGACGACTTTGTTGTGATTTGGCGCTATATAAATAAACTGAATTGACAGGTTCTGACTGTTGTTTGTGCTTATGCACCAAATGGCAGTTCAGATTACCCACCCTTTTTTGGAGTCCTTGGAGGGGGTATTAGAGAGTGCACCTCCTGGGGATTCCCTTGTTTTGCTGGGGGACTTTAATGCTCATGTGGGCAATGACAGTGAGATCTGGAGAGGTGTGGTTGGGAGGAATGACCCCACTGATCTGAACCCAAGTGGTATTCTGTTATTGGACTTCTGTGCTCGTCATGGATTGTCCATAACGAACACCATGTTCAAGCATAAGAGTGTCCATATGTGCTCTTGGCACCAGGACACCTTAGGCCGCAGTTCAATGATAGACTTTGATATTGTCTCATCTGAACTGCGGCTGCATGTCTTGGACACTCAGGTAAAGAGAGGGGGGCTGTTGTCCATTGTTGTCATCTTTCTTTGTTGAAATCAGGTCTCTCTTGTAAATGAGTCCTCGAGGCTCAATGGGATTAACCTGTCTAAATAAAGGTTAAATTAATGTGTTGTGTTTTAATTTTCTCGCCACCTTGTTGCAAGGAAAATTTTCCTAAGGGGACAATAAAAGTGATGATGATGATCGGTGAGATCCCAGACCAGTTAGACCCATACAGCAAGATTCGATCAACAGAGAGTGCCATCTCCCCTGTGGTCCACACTGCTCTCACCCACCTGAAGCAAAAGGACTCCTATGTCCATGTATTCTCTTAGTGAACTTCCTTAGATAGAGAACTTTACTAACTGGCTTTTATGTATGGGAATGTTCCTGTAAAGTGCCCTGAGACAACTTTGTTGTGATTTGGCGCTATATAAATAAACTGAATTGAATTGAATTGAACTGAACTTCACATCTGCCTTCAACACCGATTCCCCAGATTACGATGGACAAACTACTCACACTAGGACTAAGCCCCTCTTTATGTAACTGGGTCATGGATTGCTTAACCAACAGGCCACAGTCAGTGAAGATCCACAACTTCTCCTCCTCCACCATAACCCTCAGCACTGGCTCCCCTCAAGGATGTGTGTTGAGCCCACTCTTGTTCACTCTGCTCACATATATATGACTGCACCTATCCATCTAGGCTGTCGTATTGTAAAATTTGCAGATGATACAGCAGTGGTTGGAGACATCACAGACAGTGATGAGTCCAGCTACAGACAGGAGGTGAAACATCTAGAGAGCTGGTGCAGGAAAAACAACCTTCACATCAATGTGAAGAAGACGAAGGAGATGATCGTGGATTTCAGACGGAACAAACACGCCCCTCCTCTCCTGAACATAGGAGGATCTGCAGTGGAAGTGGTCTCCAGCTACAAGTACTTGGGTGTACACATGAACAACAACCTCAGCTGGAGCAACAACACCACCAGCCTGACCAAGAAAGCTCATCAGAGACTCTACTTCCTCAGACGGCTGAGACGAGCTGGTCTGGAAGCTCAGTCCTCACCTCCTTCTACAGGTGTGCAGTGGAGAGCATCCTGTGCTCCAGCATCAACGTGTGGCATGGAGGCTGCACAGCTGCAGAAAGAAAAGCTTTGCAGAGAGTGGTGAAGGCTGCACAGAAGTCTGTTGGAGTCAGTCTCCCCACCATCACAGACATCTACACCTCCAGATGCAGGAAGAGGACCACCTGCATCATGAAGGACCACACTCACCCAGCACACACACTTTTTGTCCCGCTCCCCTCAGGAAGGAGGTTGAGGAGCATTAAGTGTAGAACCACTAGACTGAGGAACAGCTTCTTTGAAAATCACTGTGAACAAATCACATCATGCTGCTGATCTGTTTCATGTTGTTGTGTTCATTCATACTCATCTGCTCACACAGACTCATGTTCGTGCTGCTGTTCAGCGTATTGTTTTTATACTAGTAGTGCTTAGCGTAGTTTTAAACCTTTTTATTAGTTCATATCTTAGATCTTATTACTGTTTTTTTTTTTTTTACATTTTATTTTTTGATGTAACTGGGACCCTGTGTACACAATTTCGTTCCACCACATGTACCACACGTGGTGCGAATGACAATAAAGAAACTCTGACTCTGACTAACTCAAGTGTACTGTGATGGAAAGGGCAATAAAAGTTATGAAGTGTAGAAATTGTGGCACCAAGGTAGGAAGTAACCTGTAAATGATTTAGTTTTAATAATTACATGCTGGTTGACAAAACTGACTAATTTTTTTTGTTTTTTTTGGTCACTTGCGTGACACAGTGTAATTGAATGTTGTGAAAGCTGCATGATGCCAGGTGATTTTCTGTTATGAGCCAATCACTAGATCGGAAAACAGTAAAAAGTCCTCCTAAAGTCACTGTTGGTTATTAAAATGTTCATTGGGTAAAGTTAATATTCTTATTTTTAAACATGCAGTTCAGTGTCATCATTGCTGAGCACAATGGCATGTTGTGTTACAAATAAGACTAAATAAAAAATAAAAGTCAAGTGCACCCCTAAATTCATTGTTTGTGATCAATTATGTCCATAGTATGGAACGCTAAAATTGTTAAAATTAAATAATTAAATAAATAAATCATTATGAAATAAGTATTATTATTAAAAGTTTTCATTTTTATTATTTTATTTCATACCGTATTTTACGCCGTAAACGTCGCTCCGCCCTATAAGTTGCATCAGTCCAAATGTAGCCTTATTCGCACGGGATTAGTTTTACCTAGTTTTACATGTAATAAATAAATTACTCCCCAATGTCTGCTTTTTATGTGGCACATTCGCACAAGATAACCAAAGCCTGAGATTTAATTGAAATTTACAGACATCTTCCAGATATGATGTTAGAGTAAAAAAAAAGTCACTTTAAGCTCAGATGGACAACCTTTCACCGACCGCATACACTGACCCACCGGTTGAAATTGACTTACGACCTGTCCAAGGTGTATCCCACCTCTCGTACAGTGATGGCTGGAGATGGGCACCAGCGACCCCTGTTACTCGAAAAGGAAGAAGCGGATAAATATAATGGATGGATGGAAGGATGGATTTATTTGCTGATCACCGGCTGCACACATCTCCGCACCTGTTGTCATCTGCGGTGAAGGAAGTAGCAGCGTCTACAAAAGCCAAAGCGAGCAGCGTGTTCATTTAAAATAGCTTTGTTCTGTATTTTTCCAAATGATTTTGCTTAAACAAAAACAAAAAACGCCTCATTACATACCGGATCACACCCATCCATCCATTTTCTTTACCCGTTTATTCCATTTTGGGTCACGGGGGTCGCTGGTGCCCATGTCCAGCAATCACTGTGCGAGGGGCGGGGTACACCCTGGACGGGTCTCCAGTCCATCACAGGGACACATAGAGACAAACGAGACAAACAACCATTCACTCTCTCACTCACACCTAGGGACAATTTAGAGTTACCAATCAGCCTAACATGCATGTTTTTGGTCTGTGGGAGGAAACCGGAGCACCCGGAGAAAACCCACGCATGCACGGAGAGAACATGCAAACTCCACCCAGAAAGGCCCCTGGACCGGGGTTTTGAACCAGGGACCTGCTCGGATCACACCCATTCCTGTTCAAATCACAGACATGCCTATTCGCATTGGATTAGTTTTATCACAGGACCTCCGAGTTCAGCAAAGTATAGTAGGTAATTTGCAGGGGAATTTTTACTTTACAAATTACTGACATAGCCGATTTGCATGGGATTAACAACGCAGACAAGCTCCATAATTATTACAAATAGCATGTGATCCCTAGGTAAAACTAGTCCCGTGCGAATAGGGCTTATGTCTAATAAAGTGGAAAAAATCCAAAAATATGTCGCATCTATTATGCGTCACTGCTGATGCGTCGAGTTTGTTACGCGTCACTGCTGACAACCTGGAAATGTGGGCCGGTGTTGTGCCAAAAATCAATTGGCTGCCAAATGGCAGTGGCTGGGGCATGCACGGGGGGGGGGGGGGGGGGACTTTAACAAGAATTTAACAAGATTAACACTTAAAAACAATCATTTGTTTGCTCAAAATTATAGTAAAGGTGTGTCTCAGTTGAGTTTTGCTTAATAAATGCACATCAGTGATCAAATTAGCTGCATTTCTCCAGGGCGGCGCAGCAAAATAAAGCTAATTTGACTGTTGCTCCAGGCGAGCTGGATGACGGTGGCAGGCTATGGCAAGCTGATGGTGTCATTAATAGCCACTTTTGCCTATTCCATGATACAAGGCCATGTTATAAAACCCTGGTGCCATCTAGTGGCTGAAAATGGTAGTGTTCAATATTTCAGTCAGAATGAATGAAAACGGTCATATCTCAGCCAAAAATTGGTTTATAAGTATGGGGAAAAATCCATAAATTCAATTCAATTCAATTCATTTCAAAAATACTTTATTAATCCCAGAGGGAAATTAAATGTTGTAGCTCATTTTCCTTGTTTCATAAGAGTTGTTCTAGATGTTGATGGTTGTGGGCGGGAAGGATCTCTTGTGATGGTCCATCTTATAGCAGATCTGAAAAAACTGGCCACAGATGTTGATCCGTTTACTTGCACTTGGTTGGCCTCCTGGGCTTCAGGATCACCTGAATGTTGGGCAGAAATCCTCCCAGAGCGATGGCCACTCCTCCCAGCAGCTTGTTGAGCTCCTCATCGCTGCGGACAGCCAACTGTAGGTGCTGATGGACGATCCTGTCCTTCTACTGTCATGAGCCGTGTTTCCTGCTAGTTCCAGGATCTCAGTGGTCAGGCACTCGAGCACAGCTGGCAGGTAGATGAAAAGAACATCCTTTTCAACTCACTTGAGATTTGGGGCTGTAGTTGTGATATTATTTGAGCTTTTGAGATGTTAATCAGCTGCTGTTGTTGTAGAAAACTGCCTTGTTGCCATGGTTACGCATCATATCAAATGTCCAAAACTAAAAAAGTTTCAGTAAAAATCCTTCCAGCGGCACAGCATCTGATACCAGAGGAAACAATCATCCAAAAAAATGTGACTTACATCCAGAAAAAGAGGAATTAAAGTTTCCAAAAGCAAAATCTCAGAATGAAAGTAACAGAGCTGCTCCAACATGCAGCCACCTGGAGCGGAGCAGCTCTAGAACCAAATGTGCTGCTTTGGTGTATAAGTTGCAGGACATGCAAATTTTGCACAAAAAAAACATGACTTATAGGGCGAAAAATAAGGTAATTGTATTTTCCATGGCTTATTTCATAATTGTGTTTTTCATAATGCTTTATTTATTTATTTAATTTTGACCATTTGGGCACTCCATAGGAGTGTACAAGAATGCTTAATTTACATGTGAAAAACGTCAGTAAATCTTGTGGGCACGGGGGCCAGGTTTGTCACTACTCTCATCCTTTCTGAGTTTGCAGGTATGCACCAGGTCCGAGTTTGACGACCCATGAGTCGCTTTGACCCGAGGTCAGCCGCAGGGTTCTGCCTGCTTCTGCTCTTTAGCAGAAAGGAAGCAGCAGATCTTTGTGGATTTTGGTTCTGATTGGATCTTGTCTAGTGAATTGTCCCGGGTCCAGTAATGGTCTCATTGTTGCAGTTCTGCTGGTTCTGGCCCGTGTTTGTGTTTTTGGATCTGACCCTACAGTCAGTTCAAACAACCTGAAACTTTTGCACTCTCCTGTTGCCGAGCACACACCAAGGTTCTCTGTCAGAACCTTTAATAAGGCACAGCTTCGGTTCTGACCCGACTCGGCTGCCTGACCTGATTGCACCATCCAATCAGGCGCCGTTGTGAGAGTAAAATCTGGGACAAGCGGGTCAGTCCAGAACCGATGTCATGTGGCACCTTTCTTCCACAGTCTGTATTAAAGCGGGTCACCTGTAGAACCTCAGTTGTGCAGCCTGTGGGGGTCCGGTTCCAGAACTAAAACACAGAGATCAGAACCTCGTGTGTTAAAGTTAATTTAGAGTTACTGTATTTACCGGGCTTTACTCCAGACATCAGAACCATCATCCATAGTTTAAACGGGTCACAGACTTGAGAACTGTTGCGGTCCGTTTGTATGATGTGCCTGTGGTTCTGTGTGTGATCAGGTGTGGAAGGTGAAGGCCATGACTGGCGCTGAGGCTGACGACGACATCCCTTTAGGAGAACGAAAGACCGTCACTGACTTCTGCTATCTGCTGGACAAGTCCAAACAGCTCTTCAATGGGCTCAGGTGGGTCAGAACCGGCTCCGTGGACATGCTCAGGGTCCAGCAGGCCCAGAGACGTCTGGGTCAGAACCTTCAGTTTTCCTGCAGCATTTTCACTGGATCCCAGTTAACCCTCAGATCTCATCCCTCAGATCTCGTCCCTCAGACCTCCTACTCCCTCAGATCTCCTCCTCCCTCAGATCTCCTCCTCCCCCCAGATCTCCTCCCTCAGACCTCCTCCTCCCTCAGACCTCCTACTCCTTCAGATCTCCTCCCCCAGATCTCCTCCCTCAGACCTCTTCCTCCCTCAGATCTCCTCCCCCAGATCTTCTCCCTCAGACCTCCTCCTCCCTCAGA